GAGTCCGTTTTTACGTGAATGTGAGGGTATTTGAACTCGTCTATTTGTGTTGCGCTGTGTTCCGTATATTATGCTGAGTGATCTTTGATATCCGCATGCGTTTGCTTGGTTGGAGTGCCTGATTCTATCCATACTCGGGTGTCAGATATAGTCGGAGACTTCTTTCCGGTGTTGTTGTGTATATTCGCCCCGAGGAACTATGCATTCCTCAGCATCTCCTGGGCGCGCATAGTAACGTGTGACCTAACAACGGAGGTCCCTCACACACAAGATGCACTATGCTACGCAACTCTGACCTGGAAGACATTGGTGCACTTGCAGGCGCGAGTTTATACAACCAGGCATGAAGCGGTTCATGGGCATATCCGCTGAGACGGCGGAGCGAAGTAAAGAAGACATACATCGCATATTTGACAAAGTGGAGAGGGCCATAGAGAGGAACCCTACGAGATCAGGGTTTATCGTGGGCGATAGATTCACAGCTGTAGATCTCACGTTTGCAGCACTGGTCAGTCCGATTGTACAGCCCGATGCGTTCGCTGATATAAACCCAAAACTCAGTCGGATGCCAAAAGAACTGCAGGAGAGCGTACCGGTATTCCGAGATACAATTGCGGGACAGCACGCAGCGGCTTGCTATACCAACTACCGATTTGCAACGCTGGACTCCAACAAAGTGGTACCACGTGTGCTTCCTGGCAAACGAATACGGTTCCGCAGTGGTCCTAGAAATAACTTAGTAAACATAGCGCTAGTAGGCGCATCCGTAGGGTCGGTGAGTCTCGCATCGGCGCTGCTGGTGGCGATTCCTGCGCTCAAGGTATTGATGTAAAAAAATAAAGCACGCGATAAACTATACATTCGCATCGGAAAAGAATGTGTGTACCATTCATTCGACCTGAGGTGCATGGGCAATGTTCGTAAACGCGCCGGAGATCACGACGTGTTTGCAGGCGTGCTCCCGGTAGCAATAACTACGCGTGGTTCATCTACGCAGCTTGATGTCCGTGCTAGGTTCATGTGTTTGGATATTACGCAAAGATACTTGCTGTTCAAATACCCTCATATTCACGTAAAAACGGACTC